TTTGCCTCCCTCACTGTATGTAGAAGTCTGTTTCCCTACCCATGAATTTTTCTGCCATGTCTCTTGTGAATGCGTTTTTAAAATGTCATTTTCCCTATTCCTGCTTTTTCATTGACACAGATCAATTTTCTGTTCTTCTGTGCATAATCTCACAGCTGGATTGGTTTCTAAGAGTTCCTTGGTTTTTACTAGATCTTTTCATGATCTCTTAGTGTCAGTCTTCCCTTGTGCAAGTGAGACCATGTCCTCACATTGGCTCCTTCTGGTGCAGTAGAAATGAGAGTCTTTTGGATATCTGTTTGAGTCTGTTTATGGATTCCATTCCTCCCCTATATTGGGCATTAAGGGCTTCCATCACTTTCCTAAACTCCTCCATTTAAAAAATCTGTATAAATTCAAGAGTCACTGGGCCAGCCAGATAGCTCAGTAGGTTAAGGCATCTGCTTAGGCAGAGCGCAGTGGCTGGAGTTCCATCTCTGGTGTGCTGTGCAGTCCCCGCCCCTGGGGCATGCTGAGATGGTGATTGAGATTGGCATGCACCTGTAATCCCAGTGCTTGGGAGGCTGAACACAGGAGAACCACTTCAAATCTGATCTGCATAGTGAGAAACTGTAGGTCTTGTCCTAAATACATAAAAAAGAGTCACTAAGTACATCTTTCATGATGATCACCGTGTCAACAATTATCTGAGACATTATTTCTGCTTTGAGTTTTTCCTAGAGCCTTTTAAATTTTCTTTGTTACTCCCCCTGTTTCCATTTCAAAGAATCCAGGGGCATGGATTTCAGACTGTTCCACTTCATTGCTCCCTTTCTATTTTTTAGTTTAATTCCTGGGTTAATGCTTATAAATTGCCTATGGTGAGTAGTTTTATTGGTAGTATTTGTAATCCTTACAGAATGATTACTTCTTGGCATTGTTTCCAGGTCTAGCTGGTTTTTGGGTCTGAGTCCATTGGAAGATTCTGCCTCTTCAATTTATTGCAGATGAGAAGTTGCTGACTGCTTGGCCCATCCCCCAGTTCTTTGGCACTGGCACACAGTACTTCCTATGACCTTTAGGCAATCTGAGTCCTGGGATATTAGGAGGAACATCTGCTTAGATCAATGATGTCCTCTTTGCTAAAGTAGTGCAGTTAGCAGTAGTAATAGCATCAAACATGGCCTAGAAAATGACAAACTGAAGTAACCATTAATTTGCCACTTTTAGCCATATGAGCATATTTGTGGTTATAGAACAAAATCTAACATGAATAGGAAAATTGTATGCAGTAAATGGGCCCTCAGTGTGGCAATTTTTCTCTCAGGGGAAAAATTCTAGAACTGGTTGGGGGAAAAAGTAGAAAAAGGAAGGATATAGGGATTAGAAGCAAGAATGGAAGGATTGGTGAGACAGCTCATTGGTGTAAGTGCCTGCCTGACAAGCACAAGGACCAGGGTTAAATCCCTGGTACTGCATGCCCCAACATCCCATGGACTCTGGGCGAGCCATCCTGGCCATTGAATCCAAGCATGGTAGTGTACGCTTGCAATCCCAGCACTAGGGTGACTGATACAGGAGGATAACTACTAGTCTGAGCTGCATAGTGAGACCCTGTATCAAATAAGTAAGTAAGTAAATAAATAAAACCTTAAAAAATACAAGGAAGCAAGACTAGAACACAAATGAGGGTCGCACAAACTTTGTTGGACTTGGACTGTGATGTAGATCAGCAGCTCAGTGCCTTCCTCGCAAGCTCAAGAGCCTGAGCTCAAGTCCTGGTACAAATAAGAACTTTGGGAAACTGGGGCAGGAGACAGTCACAAAAAGGAGCATAATGAAATGAAACAAAAAACAATTAAACAACATCCACAAAAACTAGAAAATTGGTTCAAACATAAAAATAATAAACAGTGAAGAAAAGCAAGATGGCAGCTATCCTGAGGCTGAGTGTCCTCCGTGGAGCCCAGGGATCCCAAGGCCTGTGTCTTCGAACTCCAGTGGTAAAACCTGCTCATGTTTCAGCATTTCTCCAAGACCGACTATCCCCAGGATGGTGTGGAGCCCAGCAATTCACCTGTTGCCAAGCTGCCACGCTGGTTCCAAGGCCGCGTCTGTCCACTGGACTAGTGCAAGAGCAGTCAGTGTTTTGCTCCTGGGCCTGCTTCCTGCTGCATATTTGAATCCTTGCTCTGCAATGGACTACTCCCTGGCTGCAGCCCTCACTCTCCACAGTCACTGGGGCCTCGGACAAGTTGTGACGTACTATGTTCATGGAGCTGTGCCCCAGAAAGCTGCCAAGGCAGGCCTTTTGGCACTCTCAGCTTTAACTTTTGCTGGGCTTTATTACTTCAACTACCATGACGTGGGCATTTGCAAAGCTGTTGCCATGCTGTGGAAGCTCTGATCTTCTGGACTTACTAGTTTAAGGATTGATTGTGTACCTCTTTGCCTCTACTCTGTCATGCTATTCAGCTCACAGTAAGCAAAAAGTAACGGATAAGTTCATCGGGCCTTGTGAGATGGTCATTTGTAGCATTTAAAGTCAAGGAAAATGTTTGAGAGAAATTATATCCAAGAAACAGTAAGACTGAGTTCTGTGTTTTAGTGAGTTAATGGGTCTGCCTCCCAACACTCAAGACTCAGTATAATTAAACATTACATATGAGCTTTTGCCTTTTAATTTATCTTTTAAAGAAAATTCAGCTTTATTACTGTCAATTTATGGCCATACTTTTATATTTTTCCTGGGAGTAATACATGACTGTACTTTCACATTTTTCTTGGGAATAATAGACAAAGGGAAATCCGTGAGTAACTACTTTTCAGAAAATCAGATAGTGTTTAATCTTTGGAAATGTCCCTGCCTGTTCAATTGGTACCAGATAATGATAATTACTCTGCACCCTATAGAGACTTTGAAATTAGGAAATGCTGGTATTTCATAATACAGATTTCTGAATCCTCTGAAGAAAAGCTTGGAGAGCTTCTGAATTTAGGGAAGAGATCTTCTTGCAGATGAATCAGAATACTTCCGATTCCAAATTCATTCTCAAAAGCATTTTGTTTGGTCTAGAATGATTGGGCCACAAGTGTAAAATTGTAAGCAATAAATTACTTTCCCTTTCTGGGAATTGCTAATGAGAAAGTGTATTCTGTAAAAAGAAACATTTTTTTTTAAAAATAAAAGGTTGTATAATAAAAAAAAAACACCCAGTGAAGCAAAAAGAAAGGAGAACAAAACAAGAAGAGGCAGAGGAAAAAAAGAAAGAAAACTCGGACAAGATGTCTACTTTCTCTGTAGTAACTGAGAGTCAGCGTGGAAATAGAGTCCAGATTCACACTGATGAATCCTACCAAGCCAGCTATAGTTTTAAGGTGGGTTGGTGGGCACCAACAGCAATCCTGCGTCTTTAATTTCCCCGAGTTCCTGCTGGCTTTTGGCCATTAGCCTGGAAGCAGATCCATTCAGCCTGCAGGAGCTAACATGACTTCTGCAGGTTTGAACTCAGCTTCAGGTGATGAGATTGAGCTAGAAAATTTTCTGAATTCTGAGTTCAGTTGGCCCCTCTCCTAGATGGCTTCTGGCCAATGGCCCTCTCATATGGGCTGTCCAACCTGAAAAAACTCAGTAGCCACTGCATACTGCTGTGTCATTGCTTCACAGTACAATGGAGAGACACTGCTCCCCTGTGAATCTCTCTATGGAGGCCTCTGGGTTGCCAACAGTCCCTGTGGGTCTGCAGGCTTGAGCCCCCCTCCTGTGCAGGGAGACCAGGGTCTGGGTGAAAGTGTCCCCTGCAGCATCATTTTTCTTGCTTGATGTCTCTCTCTTCACTGTCCCCAGGGGCTTCAGTGCTGGCCCCACATCCTTCCTGGGTCCCAAGACCTAACTTCCCTCCTTCATTCAGATCACACTATTCACAGCTGATTCTGACTTCTGTAGCTCACTGAGCCAGGGTTCTCTTAATAAGACCCGGAGTCTTATTCTGGGTCCTTACACAGGGACACACCCAGTTTATTCCTCAGGGCTCACTGGTCCCAACTTGCAACTGCCTTCTGATCTTCCTTTATTGTGTGCCCTCTTCTGAGATACCCACTTGCTTGGCTGTTTCTCCTGTTCAAGATGGAGATCACAAAAGTGGGCAGTGCAATGTGGCTCCCAGGAATGTGCTGACCGCAGCACTCCAATTGCCAGCATGGAGGTCAGCTCTTCCTTTGGGTGTTGGGGCCTGTCTGTGGAGACCGAGTTTTCCAGATCCTGGCAGTGCCAGCAGCACGGGGTATCCCAGACCCACTTATAAATGACACTTGATGCTGTAACTCAGCTCCCTTGCCAGGTTATCTTTCCATACTTGGGTCTTTGCCTGCCCCCAACACATTTCCAATACCTGTGCCTTGAAGTGTGTGTCTTGCAATTTTTCTAGTAAGTTGTCATGGAATTAGAGGTAGTTTCCTTGTTGAGGTTATTTTCTCCTTCTGTGCAGAAATTGTCGACAAGGGAAAGGAGTCACTGCCAAAGGGTAAAGAAAAACAAGTGCAGAACCTTGATTTAATGAGAAAAAATGAGTCTTTCCATTGAAATGTTTAAAAAAGAAAATATAAAACATGTATTTGTGTATCAAATGGTCTAAGCATCACAGTGCATGCATTCGATAAAATGCCACATTTAATTTTTAAGCTCCATTTGTTATTGAAAGTTTTATTTAAAGGTATGGCATCTAGGAACAGTGAGAAACATTGAGTTTGGAAAGTTTTGCCTTCACAGTTGAGTTTTTGTAACATGAATGTACACTGCCTATTTAGGTGGAGTTAGCTATTTTCTCTCGAACAGGACTGATACTTTGGGATCATTATGATACAGTAGTGCACTGTAGGTTTTATCTGTTCTACTTCACTGGATGATTCTGTCCAAATATCAACAGGAAACAAGGAAGAAAGTTATTGGCAGGCTTTTCCTCGGTCAGCTTTTCTGTCTTATCTCTGAGATCCACTTCACTGGAGCATGATGTGTCTTTCAGCTGCATCCCTTTCTGAGGAGCATCCAGTTTAACAATCCTACTGGAGACAATGTGAATTTGGATAAGAAAATAAAACTGAACACAAAGTATGACATTCTCAACTTTTGGAATTTTCCAGAAGGCCTAAGACTGAAGGTGAAAGTAGGAGAGTTTTCCTCTCATGTACCACAAGGTCAACAATTGTCTTTGTCTCAGGAGGTGATACAGTGGGCAATGGGCAAGACAGAGGTATGTTGGATCTGCTCAAAATGTGTTTCAGTAAATGTAAACAGCTAAAAGTTAGTTGTGGGATTTGTGGTCTCTTCTTTGTCAGGGAATGGTCACATGGGCACAGGTAAGTATTCTTTTAAGGGAGAGAATGCTCTAATTTACCCACCATCCTGATGACCAGAAAAGAAACATTTATGCCCCCGTACTTTTATAAACATATAGAGTGTTTTCACTTTAGTTCTGCAAGATTCGGGAAAGTAGTTATGAACATGTGTCTGATTTCTCTCAGACTCCCCGCTCGGTGTGCACTGAGAGCTGCAGTTCTGGGTTTAGGAAAAGCCCTCAGGAGGGAAAGCCTGCCTGCTGCTTTGATTGTACGCCTTGTCCAGAGAATGAGATCACCAATGACACAGGTACAAGTGGGGCTGATGGGCAAATTGTTCATCTCTATCTTGTGTCTCCCCATCATGCTGAGATGAAGAATAATTTTTGAAGGGCAAAAGCATATTTTTCCTTCAGTTCAACATTTCTTTTATGCACCTAATTCAATTGCACCTTGCCAAACACTCCATGTCCCCTTTCATTTCTTTTATTGTCTTCTTTGTGCTTGGCTTTTGCTTTCCTTGGCATGAACCTAGAGTTGCGAACCCAGTGAGCTACATCCCTAGTCCTTTTTAGTCTGTTCCCTTGAGATAGCATCTGATTAAGCTGCCCAAGCCAGCCTCCAATGTGTGACTCTCTTGCTTCATCTTCCTCAGTAGCAAGGCTTGCAGGTGTGCAACATGGCACCTGGCTTTTTGATTTCTTTTTCTCAGTCCAGTGAATCAAAAATATTCTTAAGGAAACTCCTTTATTTCGTCCTACAATTTTTAATTTCTTTCTCCATCATTAAATATAACCAAGGGTGACTAGGTTCCAACACTTTATCTCTTTAAAAAATGCTATTAGCTAACACAGAAGAAAAGAATTCAGCACCTCCCCCCTTATCCATTGCCTGGCTACGTTCTTGACATCACACATTTGCACTGAGGGTGTCTTTGGTCGAAGAGGTAGATCTGATTGTGGAGTGAAGCACGTGCTTATTCCCAGTTTGAGCTCAGTAACTAGCATACAGTAGTAACATATAATTACTTCAGTATATATTCTTTAATTCTGATTCAGGATAAAGTGTGTTAGTATACATGGCCATTGTTCATCTATAGAGAACACTGTTCCGACAACATCAATTTCTTCTTACTTACGGCTTGAGAAAAGTACTCCTTAGTAAAGTGCAGTTGATAGAGGAGATTAACATGGGAAGAATAAAATATTGTAATTAAGCACATTATGGATCATATCTTGTTTGCTGAAGTTAACAAAGAAAAAATATAAATTTTATAAATTTATATATTTAAAGAGAATAAGCACAAAAAGATACAGAATTTTAAAGTAAGATGATCAGAAATTAACAATGGTTATCAAATTCATATTGTTCTTTTCAAAGTAGTTGCTCAGATTACAAGAAATAGGTGCACAGAATTTATCAAACAATATAAGCACTACTGTGCCTTTCTTTTTTTCTTTTCTTAAATAATTTTACTGAGAAACAAATAGCAAGGAGATAGTTTCAAAACCGATCAGTAAGACAGTTTCAATAATTAATACATTGCACATTATTGTCTTCATAGTGGTTATTCACAGTACAAGATGCAGACATGATATCCTGTACACAAACACTATTAGTACAGATCTTTCTATTCACTGAATTAAGAGAAAGTAGTTGTATATCTATCCTAACTACTTTGAATAAACAGATACAAAATGGTCCTTCATTTGTATCCCCTTTTTTGTCTAGTTTTATCAGAGAAGGGTATTCCATTGTCATTTAAATATTGTAAGTGCATGAATTCAGCAAAATAATCCAATATAGTACAGTAGTCCATAATAGCAATGGGTTATCCATAGGATTGGCAATGTCAGAAGTTGTTGAGTTGAGCCTTTTACAACTCAGTCTATTAAAATGACTTTACTTTTTATACTTTGGTTATATACTTTTCTGCTGGATGGTTAAGACCAAGATAAAGCAAGACATATACAATAAGAAATGTAACTTTTGTATCTGCCAAGGTCAGTCAAATCCTCTCAGGATTTAGCCTGAAACCCTGTACCACAGTTTGTAGATCCTTTGTGAGTGTCAGCAATGTGGATGAGTCACGGCCATTACTTGACCAATTTGCTCGCTGTGAAAGCCTGAGAGAGTGTTTTCTTTCCATGTGACTCTCCTTAGGCACACTCTACCTCATTGATCACCTTCCTCTGTGGCCCCATAATCTCCTTGATCAGAAAATTTGGGACACAACTGAGTTACATGATGTTACAATACAGGTATAAATTTGATAGTTTATTTATTTTTCTGTATTTTAGGGAAGGGTCTAGAAGGTGTTCAGGGTTGTTCTTTTCAATGAACAAAAAGAAATTA